TCATCATAGCATATAGAGAGATAGCAGGAGAGAGGGAGAGAGAGAAGGCGAAAGCTGGCAGTGAGTCAATATATTTCAGTGTTTTATTACCACAGAACCGAAGTAGCATTTAGTTGTTTAGCTCAGCACAGAGCCAGTGGTCTAAAGTAGTGACTCAGATATTGGGGCAAACGATTAAAGGAGAACAAAAAAAAAATCTATGCATTAATTAGCAGGTCAGTGGTGGGTGAGTAGTTATTACTAAATTACAAGGTTTGCATCTAACGGACAGGATTGATCGGTAGAGTTTGCCAACTCTGGTGATTGTTTATTGAAGCTGTGAGTCAGTAGGGATAGACTCCTATTTATTTGTTGATTGATATGGAATAGGGGGCGGGCAGTTGTCTAGCTCTTTTCCATTTTTCTTATATATTGTGGACATTTGAAAAAATTGGTAGTGTCTACCAGGGAAAATTGACAGTGCTACTTCTGGGAACAGTGGCTGTATGAGCATGAGCAGGTACTATGTCACAGATGTGAGAGGCAGGATACCTACAGGAATAATGGGAAAGAGCCCCAGTGATCTTGAATGCTGCTGGTGTTGTTGTTATCCAGCCTTTCTTGTTGGTTGCTTTTAAAATTTAATTATAAATAATTGGCCCAAATACAGTGAAATGACCTGCTCACAATATGAACAAAGGCTAATATGACCAAATAAGGCCCACCACAAGAATTAAACAAAGCTATTAAGGAAACAAAATTCATCATCTTGTTTTCAGGATGCCGAGTTAGGTCAACATTTCAGAGATTTGAGGAGCAGGGGCCAAAACACGTAAAGTTTGACTCAAACTTACAACAAAAACAGAAAAAACAACATTTATATAGAACATTGCAGTATTTTTGTATCATCTCAGGAATGAGAAGTTTGTATCTAATTAATTAAGGGGAATGTTTGAAGATCTGAGGCAGTGTGAGGCAACTTAAGATCAGGGTCCCAACTCTCATCAATCTGAAACAGCAAACTAAATGAACAGGGATGATGGGATTTGTTGGCCACCAGTTTCCCCTCAATGGAATAAAGGTGGTTGTTCTTTCAATAAAGAGAAACTTTCTGTGAACTGAACGCTGTGAACTAAGTACATCCCTTGAACTCACATACAAAACAGGAATGTCATTTTAAAAGTTTGGAAGATAAATACTGTCCTTGGGAGAAGACAAAAGATTTGGAGAATAACCACCTTGGTGGACAGCAGCAAACTGTAGAAGCCAATAAAAGTGAAATGAAATTCCATCCCAAATGGATATATTGGGTGGTATTCAACAAAGTTTTGATCAGTAAACCGATCAAAACTTTGTTGAATACCACCCAATATATCCATTTACCCTTGGACTCAAGGGTATATAACGCTCCTGCCAAAACAAGGTACGGATTTGGAATCTGTCTCAAATTATAGACCCATTTCATTGTTAAATTCCGATTATAAAATTTATGCAGGATTATTGACTAACAGGTTGAAAAAAATTATAGGAAAAATAGTACATAAAAATCAGGCTGGATTTGTGGAAGGTAGACAAATAAAGGATAATATCAGAAATATAATAGACATAATGGAATATCTACAAGTAAGAAGAGACAAACAAGCAGCCCTGATTTCAATCGATGTGGAGAAGGCTTTCGACAAAATCTCATGGGAATTTATGAAAAAACTATTAAAAGAATTGTGTCTAGGTGAAAAATTCCAAAAAGGTATAACTGCAATATATAACCAACAGAAAGCAAAAATTATTATTAATGGAGAGTTTGGAGAAGAAATCAACATCTTTAAAGGTACAAGACAAGGATGCCCCGTATCCCCAATGTTATTTATAATAGTATTAGAGGGTCTATTAAAGAAAATAAGGCAGGACAACCAAATAAGAGGAATAGCAGTTGGTGAAAAAAGATACAAGTTAAGAGCCTTTTCAGATGATGTTATGATCACAACAGAAAATCCCCTACAATGTACACCTAGAATATTGGAATGCATAAACGAATATGGCAGATTAGCAGGATTCAAATTAAACTATGGGAAAACCAAAATACTAGTGAAAAATATGGAAGAAAAAGATAAAGTGAAATTACAAGAAATTACAGGATTGGAAATTAAAAAGAAAATAAGGTATCTTGGAATAAATTTAACAACAAACACTATAGATTTAAGTAATGAGAACTATGGGAAAACATGGAATGAAATAAAAAATGACTTGTAAGTATGGAGGAAATTAAATCTTTCCTTACTAGGGAAAATATCGGTAATAAAGATGAACATATTACCAAGGATGATGTTTTTATTTCAAAGTATCCCAATACTAGGAGGAGATAAATGTTTTAATAACTGGAAAAGAGATTTGGCTAAATTTGTATGGTCAGGGAAAAGCCAAGAATAAAACACAAAATAATGATAGATAAGAAGGAGAGAGGAGGATTTGGTCTCCCAGATATGGAGTTATATCACGATGCGGTGGGTCTGACCTGGCTAAAGGAATGGATCAAATTAGATGACTTGGATGTATTGGATTTAGAGGGAGTAGAGACGAGATTTGGATGGCATGCCTATCTAATAGATGAAAAAGTGAGAGTACATAAAGGCTTCCTAGGGCATATAATCAGAAAATCTATATATAAAATATGGGAGAAATATAAAGACTCCTAGAACCGAAAACTCCCTGGTGGGCATCGCCAGCAGAAATTGTCGCAGTGAAAAAATTAAATATGAAAGAAAATTGGGCTACATATAAAACTGTATTAAAGGAAGAAAACGGAGAATTGGAATTAAAGGATTACACAGAAATTAAAGCTCATATTAGTGATTGGTTCCAATATATTCAAATTAAGTATAGATTAGCGAAAGACAAAAAGTTAGGATTTGAAAAAGAAATATCAAAATTCGATGAATACTTAATACAAGAAAAAAATATATATCTAAATTGTATAATCTGATTTTAGAGTGGGAAACAAAGGATGAATTGGTTAAAGCATCAATGATTAAATGGGGGCAAGATATTGGGAAAATATTATGTTTGAACAATGGGAAAAATTGTGGAAAGAAGATATGAAATTCACTATGTGTTATATACTGAAAGAAAATTACCTTAAAATGCAACATAGATGGTATTTAACACCTGAAAGAATAGCAAAAATGAATAAAAATTGTAGCGATGTCTGCTGGCGATGCAACACAGGAAAAGGTACTTTGATACATATATGGTGGAATTGTTTAAACATCAAACAATTTTGGGAAATAATATATAATGAAATGGAAAAAATGTTTAGATACTCATTTAGGAAAACACCAGAAGGTTTTCTATTGGGAATAGTACCAGGAAGCCTAAAGGAAGAAGATAAGACCTTATATTTATACGCAACAGTAGCAGCAAGGCTATTGATTGTGAAAAACTGGAAAAGTGGTATAATACCGACAAAAACAGAGTGCCTTGCCAAATTATTGGAGTATTACAATATATCCAAAACAATGGAAGAAATTGGAAGGATTTCAAAAGAAAAGATAGATAGGGACTGGAAGGTGTTTAAAAGATACTTGCAAAATCATATTGAAAAATCAGAACTCCTATTAGAATAAACAAGTTCCGTTTCAAATACTGAAATATCAAATAAGATGGATAACAATGTGTAATAGAAAAAGTATGAAATTAGGCTAAAGGTGTGTGAAAGAAAGTTTATGTACGCAACAACAGCAGCAAGAATACTCATCGCAAAGTATTGGAAGACACAAGAACTACCCACACTGGAGGAATGGCAGATGAAACTGATGGACTATATGGAACTGGCGGAAATGACTGGTAGAATCCGTGACCAGGGAGAAGAGTCGGTGGAGGAAGATTGGAAGAAATTAAAAGATTACTTGCAGAAACATTGCAAAATTAAAGAATGTTAGAATGATGGTGGATTGAAAATAAGTGGCTTCTAGCTATACAGGCTTTAAAGTTATATATAGATTAAGATTAAGGATTAGGATTAAAAAGATAAAGGAAATGGAAATTTGGCTTTTAAGAGGTAAAAATTTAATGTTATGTTATATTAAGATTAAGGATTGGGATTAAAAAAGAGGGAAAGAAATTGCTGGACATACAAATTGAACTGGAATACAAAAGAGGGAGGTATGAGGAGGTCCAGAAAATAAGTACATTTAAAAAATGGAGATGAAAAGGTGGTATTGCTTTTAAATCTTTTCTTTTTGGTTTTTTGCTTTTTGTTTCTTTTTTTTCTTTTTGGATTATGTATTGTGTATTTCTGAACTGTGTATTTTTCTTTTTTACTTTTAATTTTTAGTTTGGAAACTCTAATAAATATCATTTTTTTAAAAAATGAAAGAAAGTAATAGAAGTAGAAAGAAATTGTAATTGAGTAGATTGGAAGTCAAACACAAAGGTGGGGTGAGGGGTGGTGGATAGTGATGGGGAAAGGAATTACTTGTGGGATTGAGTGTAAGTATGTTTGAACACTTTTAAGGATTGTATGAAATCTTTGTTTGTATGCTTGTATATGTGTATTAATGATGAACTATTTTAACAATAAAAACTTATTAATAAAAACAAAAAACAAAACAAAGTTTTGATCAGTAAACCAATTGAAATTAATGCACCTAACTTACTCAAGTTCATTAATTCCAGTATGTTTACTCTGAGTAAAACGTAGCTGTATACAACCCAATAAAATGAAAATTGCCACATAAAAAGTAGGCCCAAGTCCCTAGTAATCCAAAATGTGTGATGTCATCAAACCACGCTGTGAACTTATTTGCTGGTAATAGTAATAGTAATAGTAATAAGAACATTACTTAATTGTTATTTACTTTGAATGTACATAAACATCCAAAAGCAACTGGAGATACAATACAATCAGGAAAAGAAACAATTAAAGCTTTGGGTGGTGGCCAAACCATCACTGACCCATTGTGTGTTGCCTTCTCAACATACAGGTTGGTCTGCCGTAGTCGAAACAAAATAAAAAAAATAAATTCATTCCAGTAGCACCTTAGAGACCAACTAAGTTTGTTACTGATATGAGCTTTCGTGTTCATACCAATAACAAACTTAGTTGGTCTCTAAGGTGCTACTGGAAGGATTTTTATTTATTTATTTTGTTTCTTCTCAATGTACTCCAATTCATTGGCTGCTCCTTGCAGAACAAGGAAAACTCACCATGTAGTGCTAGTGTGTCACATATTTTGCATTGCCCGGTGTGGCGATCACACGCAGGGCCCCCCCCAGACGTTTGACGGTCTATTGACCCTGTGCCACCACTGTGATTGCTTTCTTCACTGCCACCAACCCGTGTCTCACGGGTACACACGGAGTCCAGACAGTTGTTAACATTAACAAATAATCAAGTTTATTTATAGGTATGAACAAGCTTATAGTTTCCGTTAATTTTTCTTGGCAGATTCTTAAACTTAGTTCCTTAACTGTCCTATGCGCTCTTAACAACTTCAAACTGATTATTCCAACTATCTATCTGACTCCACCTAACAATTCCTCTCACTCACTCACAACACAACTCGACCAACCCACAGACCTCCCTCTTCCTTCTTCAACTCCCAACTCTCAACTGACTTTCAAAACCTCCCACCCTAATTTTTACTCCTCCCCTTGCATTCTCACTAGCCAATCACATCACACACTCATTTAACCCTTTCCTTATGACCCACCTAGGAGGCAAACACCACACCCGGCATTACTGATGGAAAAAGAAGGAGGAGATGTTGGACTGCTGTCTTTGGTGGCAACCAAATATCTCCTGCAACAACTAGCTTTGGCCAAAAGGCTAATTTGGATGAAGAGTGGTACAAAGCAAACCCTTCCCTGAGTGTCACAGAGGTCTAAGAGGGGTAGAGAAAGACAACACTGGGATGTAGAGAAAAGCATCATTCACTTCTACCCTCAGCCATCCAATATCCATAGCATTGGGGATTGATCAGAAAGAAAAATCTCCTTGCCCTGAGGTTCCCCAGATAGAGATGTAAAGCAGGCAATAAGGAGTGAGGGAGGGAGAGGCTGGCTGATGAATACGAGACTGGAGGATTCCTCTCTCTGTGCATTAGAAGCTCAGCAGATTGCACTAATGTGCATAATATTCAAGCTGTCAGAGACCTCTCTCCAGCTCTGCTTAGAGGCAGGAAAACACTGAGAACATTTTATCTCATTTGCAAATGAGTTTTTATGCCCAGTAAAATGCTGTTTTCATATCAATTAATAATTCAGCTAATAACACAATTTAAAAAATATGCCCTTTTCGTTTTTCCTGGGGGTGATTTCAAGGAGGCGGGGAAAGGATGGGGCATTCCAAGATGCATCAAAGGAGGTTCTCTGTGCTGCTGAAGCAGTGGTTAGTTGCAGCAGCACTTAATGGAGACTTGACAAATGAGTTTCAAATTTGCAGAGCATGTTTCTGAGCTTGCAACCTCCCAAGTCAAATATGAGAAAGAGTCTATTATCCCAGTCAGCTAGGGACAAGCTTGTGAATGTGGTGATGCAATACAGCCAGTCAGATTTTTGTCAAGTGGGCTTTGTGATTACCATGGCAGAACAGAACTAACTTAAATGCAGATCTCTTGAGTTTTGGATGTGGATCTCAGGAGACTGTGTTAGATGTGTCCTATTCTCCCTTCTCCATAACAGGTATATGTTTGTAGCTGTCAGGAATAACTGGCATTCTAACATTCCATTCTGTGTTGCAGAATTGGGAAATAACACATATTGTTTATTTTATTTTGGTTGGGCCATTAGTGTACATAGTCAGAGCATGGAATTGATATTCTAGTGTTGCCATCCTTTCTGATTTTATGCAGAATATTTTAAAGCATATCTCCAAGTTTTAGTTCTTCTCCAGAGAACCTACAACCTATTCAGAAACACATTTTCTGGTGGAATGTATTTTCTGATCAATTCTAGTGGAGGAAAGAGCTGTCTTCTAAGCATCATTTGACAGCATCATTTTATGCAATATCTTCCTGTCCAAAATCCACATGGTGGTGGTGTCAACTTTCAGCTCTAGAGGGGGTGAAATGTATATGCCCCAGGTCCTTGCTGCTGTTTTAAAGGGAGGCTCTTTCTATCCTCCATTTAGCGTCTGTAACTAGAAAGTGAGACCTTCTGAACCCTGCTGTTCACAGCTGGGATCATTTGTGTCTTTCCATGTGGTTAATGTTGTCATGGCGGTTCCCTCCCAGGTTTTTATTTATTTATTTAATAGAACAAGATGTTGATGAAAACACCTGCTCAGGCTTGCATTTTCTTAATGAGTAATCTGTATGGCATTAAATGGCACTACAAACCAATTACAGCTGCTTAGATAGCAGGCATGTGTTAATAGAGCCATCATAGATCATAGCTATTTCAGTCTCATAACAGAATGCTTAGATTTCATTTGCATGACCTCATGGGGGAAAATATATCGTGGGAATACGAAAGAAATCAACTAACTTTGCTGTTCTCTCTTTCTCCTTTTCTTGTTTCTCTAGGTAAGTGAAAACCTGTTTTTCCTTTACCTGGCGATCTCATAGTCCTGAAGTGATGAAGGTCCATTCTTTTGTGTGACTCAGGCTTGTGGTGTCTTGGATTCAAACTCATGATGTTCGCTGCAGATATCTGTGAGTCTTTGCAAGTATGATTTGCTTGTTGAGTAGCCAAAGATATGAAGCATTGTTGTGTGATCTGTTCAGATTTAGGAAGCTTCATGATTTAATGCTCTGCTGGAAATCCTTGTTTTCCATACTGTTGATACATGCATGTGAAATATTTGTTCCTCTTAGCATTGATATCAGTGTTGGCTCAAGGATTTTGGTCACTTGAGACATGGTTAGGCAAAGGCATCCCCATGCAACCTTTATTTCCATTTGCGCCCATGATGCCACTGAGGATTCCAGTGTGCGTTCTCAGTTAAGCGTGTGCTATGTGCCCTAGGTAGGTGTAAAATCTGTTGTGACTTGATTGAACTAATTCTTATAATGGAATGGTAACCACAATGGAGTATGTATGCAAGTTCATCAGTCTATACAGGGACTATTAAAACAAACACTTACTATGATCCATAGGAGCCAACTCTTAGGGTCCAAGGTCCCTTTAGACCCCCCAATAAAATATGTGAGATGGCCAAGCACCCCCTGCCACAAAGTTAATGGGTATTGCCCTTCAAATGGTGTGCAAGTGCCAAGTCTTGTGATTTTGTGGAGTGAAGTTTACCTGCCCCCCCCATATTTTTTTCACGTTGACACCCCTGCTATGTGCAATAGTCCTGTTTTCAGATAATATGATCATGTTATGGTAAGTTTTTAGAAATTTGGTGGATGTTTGCATTTATTGGTAATGTTTAAGATTTTAAGGAACCAAGGGGAAAAAGTCAGAAAATTCTGACATTTACCAGTAAAATTCAAAGTCAACTGAGGGCCTTCAGTAAATGTCCAAATGTCATTCTCATTTCCAGGTAAAGATTATGCCCCATGCCTCAGATGTAAAATGTGGACAAGTCTCATGACATAAGCATTTCTCACAATATCTGTGAGTCTTTATAAAGTCTTTAAAAATACCCAGTAGTAATTGTCAGCATTCAACATGCTTTTGGTATTTAGCATGACATACATACAAGTTTTTAAATCAACTGTGGTATCTGTGCAAGGTGAAACAGGTTAGGACAGTCTCTTTCATCACTTTACATCAGAAGATCAGAAGTTCTTGAACATTGCCCAAATTGCATTATGGGTTGTCACTTATATTTTAGACTAGCACCATTTACATGATCATGTCTGTCCTGGGATGATTGGATGCAAAGAATCAGGCCTACTACACCTTTCATAGTTGTATAGAAGTAGGAATTCCATCAGAAATATCAGAAGGTGAAATTTCATACCCTTGGAACACAGGGATACAAAAATCTGCATCTTCTGCTGTTCCACACAGCTTTTAAAAGTGCAGGAGCCCTAAACCATCCTTGCTTTACATATTTCACATAAGTCTTAACATATTCGAACTCTTAAGGGTCATAAAAGCATCCAAGCTTTGGAAGAATTACAAAATCACACTGAAACCAGAAGCTCCTTTCCACTTGAGATGTGCTCTCAAGAAAAAAGAAAATTGCAAGAAAATTGCTTGCAGTCAATTGACTCATGCATTTGCTTCAGGAAAAAGAAAACCAGAAATGTAAAATTGTCAAACAAACAAACAAACAAACAACCTTATGCTGTTTCCAAAATGACATATACCAGCCTCCCCTAATCTGATGCCCTCCAAATATTTGGGACTAGAATTTCTATTGTCCCCAACCATTAGCTAGTGCTAATGGGAGCTGGCATCTCTCAATAGCTGAAGGACACTAGATTGTGGGGGGCACTTGGTTTTGTTTTGACAGGCAGCCTAATCCTATGCGTATTTCCAAAAAAGCATATTCCTTTCACTTTAATGAGGCTTACTCTCAAAAAAAGGGAACTTATGAAGCTGCTCAGAGGTAAAAGGGAAAATGTGCATAGGATTGCAGCCTTGATTTGTGTACATGTGGAATGCTATGAGGCAAGTCACGTCCTGTAGAACTTGAGTTCACTGCAGGCAGATAGTGTGGTCAGCACTCCTAAGCAGATGATTTTAGCAGAAATTGCCATGTGGTTTCAATTAGCATCACGCTAATATTATACTTTCCGTTACATTTTCCATCAAACAATCAATGCCCTTTCCTATTTGGCCTTGCCAAAACAGTCCCCAGAACAGTGGCTTCCTGAACAGATGCCAAGCATCTAATAATTTTGATTGCCTTAAAAAGTCACTTGCTACTCCAAGTTATTCTACTTTGTATACAAACATGAGGAAAGGCAACATTTGCTGGCAGTAGAGGTCAGTTAATAGACATATTTTTGGATCAGTAGCATAACTGGAACGCAGCAACTTGAGTAGTCTCATCCAGGGTCCAACTCCCTAGTGGGTCCAGGCAGGACGGAGCTGAGTGTTTTTCACCAAATATTTTCAGTCCTGCAAGTGGCTGTTACAGACGATAAAATATATCTGAACCTCTTCTGCAGCCATGCACATAATAGCTGCTGTTTGGCACACATTTTTCTTCTTCAAGCCTTCTCTTCCT